GAAGGGGCGGTGCCAACGGTGATGACAGTGGGGGCACCGATGGCGGTAACTGTTCAAGGCAAACTGGAGGAGGAGACTGGGGTGGTCATGGACGAGGAGGAGTTGGTGGCTGGAGTGGGGCTACTGAAGGCTCACCGGCGTCGGAAACGATTTCACATTAGTCATTGGAAGAACTTTTGCCGGCCATTGATATTTCTCTCCAACACAAAACAATTGAACAATGCCTCCATTTCTCCTCATATGAGAGGAGATGTTGTATTAATATACAAAAATCATCTAATTACCTCTTTTAAATATGAACTCTTATTTTGCCATACACATGGTGCCATGATTGAGGAATATATACCTACCCTTCGTAATTGATAAAACCAAGAAAGAGTTCGTAATTGATAAAACCAAGAAAGAGTTTGAAGTCTGAGCTCAAGAGTTGAGGTCAAGAAGGTAGCTCAGCTCAAGGAATTCGAGCTCCGAGGTCCAGACTTAGAACTCTTTCAACTTATATCCTGAAGTAGATAAGTGGAGGACAACTTGCATTCTCNACAATGGGAAATTTTGGTATCGTTTTTTAAGAAGAGGCAAAAACAAATTTATATACTACTGTTCTATCTGTTTCTACATCTCTCTCTCTCTCTCTCTCTCTCTNATCTTGCTGAAAAAAAGTCGGGGTTGGAAAATGAAGAGGTATGGAGTAGGATTTCCCACAATGGAGANTTTGCTGAAAAAAGTCGGGGTTGGAAAATGAAGAGGTATGGAGTAGGATTTCCCACAATGGAGAAAACATTGTTCAGACGATCACAAGTTTCTCAAAAATTCTANCTCAAACCACCAAAATCATCGCTTAGAATCGTGCAAGGCACCACGGAAGGAAGGTAAAGAACTCGCCATAGATCCCAAAAAACTAGGGATTGAACTATAAATATTACAATGCCTCCAGTACGAAGGAGAGGCAACTTTAGCTGTATCAAAAACACTCTGTAAATTGTATAAACCATTAATATAGGTCCAAGGAGCAAATGACTCATTAAAGAGTAAATTAGCCGAGCTCCTGAACNGAAAACATTGTTCAGACGATCACAAGTTTCTCAAAAATTCTATTAGTATCACGTCCGAAAGAGTAGGCCGCGGTAGTCGGGGTATTCGAGGGGGTGAAGTATATGTGGCTGGTAATTCGACTGTAGGCAGTTCAGGTGGAGATGGTGCTGGTGGTGAGAGTCGAACGTGTAGCTGCAATGGTGGACGTTGTGGTGCGGCTTGAGCGTGTGGTTGCAACGATGTTTCTGAAGGAAATGTTTTCAACGGTGGCGACCGTGGAGGTGGTGATGTGAACGGTGGCGAAAGTGTAGATGTCGATGGCGGTATCTATTCACGTAGAACTGGAGGAGGAGGAGTAGGATGCCGAGGTGGTCGTGCCCTTGACAGAAGAGGAGATGGTGGTGGAGGGGGCGATGCCAACAGTGATGACAGTGGAGGATCAGTAGGCGGTATCTGTCCAAGCCCAACCGGAGGAGTAGATCGAGATGCGCGTGGGCTTAACAGAGGAGGAGGTGGTGGTGGAAGGGGCGGTGCCAACGGTGATGACAGTGGGGGCACCGATGGCGGTAACTGTTCAAGGCAAACTGGAGGAGGAGACTGGGGTGGTCATGGACGAGGAGGAGTTGGTGGCTGGAGTGGGGCTACTGAAGGCTCACCGGCGTCGGAAACGATTTCACATTAGTCATTGGAAGAACTTTTGCCGGCCATTGATATTTCTCTCCAACACAAAACAATTGAACAATGCCTCCATTTCTCCTCATATGAGAGGAGATGTTGTATTGATATACAAAAATCATCTAATTACCTCTTTTAAATATGAACTCTTTTTTTGCCATACACATGGTGCCATGATTGAGGAATATATACCTACCCTTCGTAATTGATAAAACCAAGAAAGAGTTTGAAGTCTGAGCTCAAGAGTTGAGGTCAAGAAGGTAGCTCAGCTCAAGGAATCCGAGCTCCGAGGTCCAGACCTAGAACTCTTTCAACTTATATCCTGAAGTAGATAAGTGGAGGACAACTTGCATTCTCNTTCCTACACGAGGATAACCTTACTTGTAGCATAGAGCTCTTCTAATTTACAGTAATGCTAAATTGACCAAATTTTAGGATCAATTTAAAATTCAAATGACATAGTAGTTGATTATTGAGAGTTTTTATTATGATCCAAATGATATGACACCAATGAAATAAGCTCAAGTCAACTGTCATGTCATTTTAGCTACAAATTTGATTCCAAATTTTGATGCCTCTAGAATTACTCTCTAATTTATTCTTTGTCCCAGACTGTATAAACTTTTTCTCTCCTCCTTGNTTCAAACCACCAAAATCATCGCTTAGAATCGTGCAAGGCACCACGGAAGGAAGGTAAAGAACTCGCCACAGATCCCAAAAAACTAGGGATTGAACTAAAAATATTACAATGCCTCCAGTACGAAGGAGAGGCAACTTTAGCTGTATCAAAAACACTCTGTAAATTGTATAAACCATTTATATAGGTCCAAGGAGCAAATGACTCATTAAAGAGTAAATTAGCCGAGCTCCTGAACNGTTTCTCCCACTCCGTCTATCTCAATTTTTTTAATTTTCGACAATTGGGATTTTTGTTACCGGCAATTATGTGTTTAAAATAAATTAAAAAAATTTCCAATTNTTTTTTAATTTTCGACAACTGGGATTTTTGTTACCGGCAATTATGTGTTTAAAATAAATTAAAAAAATTTCCAATTTTTTGATCTTGTGTAATTAAACAAAACAGAAAAAAAAATTATTAAAAAATTGATTATACTCTATATTATATACTGCATTATAATTTTTCTTCTAAATAAATATTACTTAATTTATGGCATTCGCTATTTAATTNTTTATTAAAAAATTGATTATACTCCATATTATATACTGTATTATAATTTTTCTTCTAAATAAATATTACTTAATTTATGGCATTCGCTATTTAATTACATAAATTTTTCCAAATTCCTTCTCATCCAAACCACTTTTATCCACCCTGTCCGATGCTGAAGCCGAAGCATCCGGAAGTCTATCCACGGTAACCCAGGGAAGATGAGTAATTTAACCAAATTAAAATCTAGTTTATATGCTAGTGGTTTAGTTTTTTTGCAATTTACCCCCTATATTTCAGAAATTAGTACATAAGTCTCTTATACTTTTGAATTAAATTGCTACAGTTATAAATTCTCTGTCAATTGACAGAATGTAGCTTGCAAGCACATGATTTGAGAGTAAGTGTGTGAAAATATTCGGTTTAAGACAACTTTGAATGAAAGGATTTGAGTTTCATTAAAAAATCACATGTGTTTTGTGGTGTTGAGTCTTGTTACATCTTAAATTTTTAAGATTTTAAAAATTTTATGCTCATCAATTTGTTTTCTTATAGATGAACTCTAAAAAAAATTAACTTTTAATTAAAATAACATATTTTAAATTGACATGATTTGTGCTATTAATTCAAGCAATAATATTAAAATGTCCTAAAATTCATGGAAAATAAATTGCATATCAGTCATTGAAAAATTTTAATATGATTCAGATTAATTTTACTATTTATTGAAAAAAAAGTTAAGTTTTATTTTTAAACACACAACTTCGAATTTTCTAGAAAGAAACAAATAACGACTTGGGCATAAGTTGTATCAATTTGCGTATTGTTTTTGTGTCGAAAATTATTATTATTTTTTTGCATGATGAATATGATTTTTGTGATTAAAAGTGTATTGTACAAATTAAATTAAATAAAGGAACAAATTATTTATTACAATATTTTGTAAAAATGCGTAATTTATTGATTCATATTTTTTTTCATAAATAAGACAATTCTAATAGATTGAACTTTTTTTTTCATTCCATTCCAAACATGGTATAAGATTGGATAACATTTTTTTACATAAGGTTGCAATGGTAATTTTAGTATGTTTTATCTTTACATGTGAATGGGGCCATAAACCAAATGAAATCTATTCAAAGATGAAATATGATTTGAATCTGAATTTTATAATTCGACAATCCGGATCACTTTGTATTGGGTTATATTGGGTTTGGATTCAAATTCAATCCAATCCAAACCTCCCACGGTGATCCAAATACCACCTTAATAGTTTTATATTTACATCCTAATGATAGAATTATAAGAAAATAAAGAAAACCATTTTTTTTCCTACACGAGGATAACCTTACTTGTAGCATAGAGCTCTTCTAATTTACAGTAATACTAAATTGACCAAATTTTAGGATCAAATTTAAAATTCAAATGACATAGTAGTTGATTATTGAGAGTTTTTATTAGGACCCAAATGATATGACACCAATGAAATAAGCTCAAGTCAACTGTCATGTCATTTTAGCTACAAATTTGATTCCAAATTTTGATCCCTCTAGCATTACTCTCTAATTTATTCTTTGTCCCAGACTGTATAAACTTTTTCTCTCCTCCTTGAAAATTCCATTAAAGTCTTCAATTGCTGCTTCCAAATTCTTTCCGTTGGCGATCAAATGCATGGTACTGATACTTGAGATCAATTTCTTCATTCTGGACGCCTGTTGATAATAATAATAAGTCAAAAGAACATAGAGGTATAAAGTCAGGGCATCCACCAGTATCACTGCAACCTTATCCAAGTGAGAAGGGAGCTCATGTTTTAAGAACTCATGAGTGAGGAAAACGAAAGAAACCAGATGGGTAACATAGATAAGGAACTCGTAACTCCACTCCGCTTGCAATCCCTCAGTGTCACATGGATCAGTCTCTTCGGGATACTTCAATACTAATAGCACTCCAGTAACAACTACAGAAAAGCCAGACACTATTTGTTCCCAAAAGATTATTCTGTTTGTTCGCATATACACTCGATAGGAGAAATGATAAAGAGATAATGAGGTTAAGCATGATGGATAGTTGTTTGACAACTAGATTAAAGACGATCTTGCTGAAAAAAAGTCGGGGTTGGAAAATGAAGAGGTATGGAGTAGGATTTCCCACAATGGAGAAAACATTGTTCAGACGATCACAAGTTTCTCAAAAATTCTATTAGTATCACGTCCGAAAGAGTAGGCCGCGGTAGTCGGGGTATTCGAGGGGGTGAAGTATATGTGGCTGGTAATTCGACTGTAGGCAGTTCAGGTGGAGATGGTGCTGGTGGTGAGAGTCGAACGTGTAGCTGCAATGGTGGACGTTGTGGTGCGGCTTGAGCGTGTGGTTGCAACGATGTTTCTGAAGGAAATGTTTTCAACGGTGGCGACCGTGGAGGTGGTGATGTGAACGGTGGCGAAAGTGTAGATGTCGATGGCGGTATCTATTCACGTAGAACTGGAGGAGGAGGAGTAGGATGCCGAGGTGGTCGTGCCCTTGACAGAAGAGGAGATGGTGGTGGAGGGGGCGATGCCAACAGTGATGACAGTGGAGGATCAGTAGGCGGTATCTGTCCAAGCCCAACCGGAGGAGTAGATCGAGATGCGCGTGGGCTTAACAGAGGAGGAGGTGGTGGTGGAAGGGGCGGTGCCAACGGTGATGACAGTGGGGGCACCGATGGCGGTAACTGTTCAAGGCAAACTGGAGGAGGAGACTGGGGTGGTCATGGACGAGGAGGAGTTGGTGGCTGGAGTGGGGCTACTGAAGGCTCACCGGCGTCGGAAACGATTTCACATTAGTCATTGGAAGAACTTTTGCCGGCCATTGATATTTCTCTCCAACACAAAACAATTGAACAATGCCTCCATTTCTCCTCATATGAGAGGAGATGTTGTATTGATATACAAAAATCATCTAATTACCTCTTTTAAATATGAACTCTTTTTTTGCCATACACATGGTGCCATGATTGAGGAATATATACCTACCCTTCGTAATTGATAAAACCAAGAAAGAGTTTGAAGTCTGAGCTCAAGAGTTGAGGTCAAGAAGGTAGCTCAGCTCAAGGAATCCGAGCTCCGAGGTCCAGACCTAGAACTCTTTCAACTTATATCCTGAAGTAGATAAGTGGAGGACAACTTGCATTCTCGAGGCATCCCCCAACGGTAACAAGTTTCAGTTTAGTCATGAAATCTTCAAACCACCAAAATCATCGCTTAGAATCGTGCAAGGCACCACGGAAGGAAGGTAAAGAACTCGCCATAGATCCCAAAAAACTAGGGATTGAACTATAAATATTACAATGCCTCCAGTACGAAGGAGAGGCAACTTTAGCTGTATCAAAAACACTCTGTAAATTGTATAAACCATTAATATAGGTCCAAGGAGCAAATGACTCATTAAAGAGTAAATTAGCCGAGCTCCTGAACTAGCAAACCACTATATTTTTAGTATGCAAATCATCCCATATCCCGAAGAAATTTATCATAACCCTCACGAGCCTAGAAGTTCAGATCAAGACTTGCTTAGCTACACTACATTCTACGCACCCACATTTTATACACCATCAGTAATGATATCTATATTAATGCTATTTTAATTTAATTTAATTTTAATGTTTAGTGAAAAACTTAGTCATGCTATATTCTTATCAAAATACCATAATTTTATTTATGAGTGAGTTACTCTATTAATTTATTTAGGATATATTATTTGTACAATACAGTACAACTCAACAATCCCTTCAATAATCTTTATACATGTGAAACTGTTGTATAGAAGCACAAAAATAGATATAGAGAATAGTCCCTTGATTTCTTGGATATATGAATACTTGTTTTGCGTTCACATTGATAGGGTGTCATCGATAACAAACAAATCAAATTACTACCCATCTCTTTCTAATTTATAAATCAAAAGTGTTATTTAAGCCTAAACTCATGCTGCATATAAGCTTATCCCCCCCCCCCCTCTCTCTCTCTCTCTCTTACATGTAATAAGACTTCAAAACCTATAAATGCATGTAAAATTTTATTACTTAGTTACAAAAACATACATCCAAACCTTAGCAAACCTTAACCTCAAAATCATTGTTTTACTTTTCACTACAAATTTTTGAGCGGCCATATCATTGGGCTTGATCGAAAATATTTAGATTTTAGGTCTTTATAAAACTTCAATCTTAACAAATATCTAATATGTTCAAGTAAAATCAGGGAACTGGTATCAGAGTCTAAGTTGATTTTTACAAATTTTTAATACACCGATAAAAACTGTTCGGAGGTTTCTGCCTCCAGTAGTGGGATAAGGAGAGTCCGAATTAGTTGTTAAAGTCTAAGTGTTGGGTTTTGATTAGATCAATCATTGCCATTTAATTTAATTAAATTAAAATTTTTAGTATTAAGAATTTAGGGAGGGAAGACTTCTCAATCGTCCTCGCCTCTAATTTGATTGTTATATATATGGCTAAAAGAAAAAAAAAAGTTATGGCTAAAAACAAAACCAAAACCAAAAAACAAATCCTTTAGTCGAAATAGGGTTGTCCAACTTGAAGGTAAAATAGGAAAGTTACATTTTCATATGTGCTTACATCATTATACACATACATGAATCCTAGGAATTTTATATAGATTGTCACATTCAAAGGGATGTCAATGTAATTTAAAAAACAATAGGGAGTGCCGTGAAAATATGAGAAATAATAAGAGAGGTTGTAATTTATCTAGTAAAATTGTTTAAGTAACCTGATTGTATTTTGTGGAGGTTCTAACTTGAGAATTTTTAACTTGAGAAATAGGGTTTTCGTGAATTTAATTTTTTCATACGGGAGTTCGATTAATTCACGCTCTTACTTACTTATATGTTTACTTATTATCATTTAAATATTTATTTGGAAAGCATTGATCCAGGCCTCAAAATATATATCAATATTTATCAACTATAATTGTTATTTTAAAATTTTATAATTAACATATATTTAAAAATTAAATAATTAGTCTCATAGTTGTGTATGATTTTTTTATATTTTTTTATATTAAGTTTTTATGAATGAATGTGTTTGTATGAATATAATATAACATTCTCAAAGTGCTCTCACTCTCAATTTTTTTTTAACCTTGATGTTTTTCTACCCGTGCTCCTGTTTTATGTGATCTAGGTCTGTGTGCTAATTCCTATATTTGGACACTTACACACAAAAGGGAGCATTTGATAACTCTTGTGTTATAACAATCACAAGATCTTGAACATCCAACGAAACCTATTAACTATAAGTTAGTGGAACCTAAAAAATTATTTTATTAAAGGTTAATAAATTAAATCAAATTTTTAGATCTCAATAACATTACTCTAATTACACTGGCAACTTTCTGCAATTCCAAAAACTACATCGCACTAGTTGCTCACGAGAACATATATATGCGTAATAGCCACGAGTCGTCAATCTTGAGCCTCGGATCTCTATGAATATTTTTTCCCAATCAAGTCAGAGAATGTGACATTTGAAAGAGTAAACTACACAGATAATCATCAAATTATGACTCTTATGCCAATTAAACACCTAAATTAATTTTTGTATTAATAGAGCTTTAAACTTGTTAATTTTAGCAATTTCACCATTCTGTCAACATCTGTCAATTTTTTTTTCATGGAAAGAGTCATGTGACAATCTCATAGACAACACAACAGGGATATTTTAGGCAAAACAAACTAAGCACAAAGAGTAAACTACATAAGACAAATGTATCTACCTAATGCGTGACGAACTTTCTGAAATTAATCAGATTATATCTACCAATAATCGAACATACATACTGAAATTAAGTCATTCGCATAATCAACTTATTGAATCCTTTTTTAAAAAAAGGAACTAAAGCACGTATAGAAGTTTATATCGCACCCATAGCTGATTCTAGTTCTCTGTTAGTAGAATAAAATTTAAATTCAATTATCATTATTTTATTTCTGAACAGAAAGGACTTGATCAAGAAGTATTACTTAGAAAAATGACTAACTCAAAGATTTTTAGGAATATTCAATAGTTTATTCCAATTAAATTTTGTCATATATCCACATAACTATTTTTTCCTATACTGGCTTTGTAATCACCCATTTGATTACTTTTTAACACAAAAATTCATAATACCTGTGAGGCTTAAAGTGCCCAAGGTACTCATTCCAGTCGGCATTGAGAGAAGGTCACTTATGCCACTCGGCATTTGGAGAAGGTGGCCCTTGCAGTCGGTAGGTGGCTCAGCTGGCCACTGCCAGTCGGCAAGTGGTTCGCTTGGCAATTACCAGTCCACAAATGGCTTGGGCAGGTCTTTGTTTGTCTTTGCTTGGCACCCAACGCAACTATGGATGAGTCCTACTCGGTAAGGGATCAACTTAAGACCTAAAATCCTAACTTAATACCATTCTGAATGTCTAGGAGCTGGTGATAAGGGATTAGGACCTAGAGTATTAATCTAACTCTGTTCCATACTTCTAGAACCTGATGACGGGGTTGAGCCAATCAACTAAGAATTCTGGTTCCTTTGGGACAAATCTCTCTATCACTATAAATAACGACCTTGGGTACCAGTTACTTGATTGAATCCGGGTCTATTAAATCAATACTTTTCTTTGACTTGCGATCTGACTTAAGCATTGAAGTATCTTTAGTCACCTCAGGCTATTGGTTCACCTAAGTATTCTTTTGTTTTACACACTGTTTTAGTAGCCAACACTATTTTTAAGGAGCCTATCTATCAAGTCATGAACCAAATTAAAGACAATGAGTATTTTTGGTGGCCACCTAAGATGATAAGAGATCTATCAAACTAAGACCAAAACCTCAATTACTCTTATCACAAGGACAAAGGCTACCGGATGGAGAATTGCTGGACACTCAAGTGACACCTACAAGAATTGGTCAAATAAGGCCACCTCACTCGGTACATTGACAAGGAAAAGACTGCCAATGAGCAGGAAGATCAACAAATCCAATCAGATGACCAACAAGATAACTGCAAGTTATTTTTAGCTTAGTCAACAACGTCTTATTATTTTCGTAAGTCTTCAAAGACATTTGTTTCTCATTTTTATTAATTAGTAAAGAGAAGTTTGTTTTTCAAAACTCTAAACGTTCCTCTATTTTGTGATTATTGTAGCCTTTGTGGTTGCAGCTCCAGTCAACCTCCATGGTTGCACTTCCAACCAACCTCCGTAGTTGCGCCTCAAGCAAGCTTTTGTGGTTGCACCTCAATCCAACCTCTGTGGTTGCACCTTAAGACTCCTTCATTTCTAGGCAAACCTTCATGGTTGCACCTTAAGTCAACCTCCAAAGGTACCCCCTTAAGACTACTTGGCCTCCATGCAACCTCCACAGTTGCCTTTCAGGCTACTTGGTCTTCATGCAACCTCTAAGCTTGGCATTCAAGACTACTTGGCCTCTATGCAACCTCCACGATTGACCTTCAGGCTACTTCGCCTCCATGCAACTTCTAAGGTTACTCTCTAAGTTACTAAGCCTTCAACATACAATCAACAACTTCTACAATTGCTCAATAGACTACTCAGCCTTTCTTAAGAATTTGCCACCTCCAAGCGTTGGACACCTCAACTTGTTACAACCCTCTCCCTTCAGTCAGAACAGGGGGAACAAGTGTTAGAAAACTTGAACCACCACCACCACCAAGAAACATCCCCATGATTTCAAGAATCGGGAAGTCACTCTTAGGCCATAGAACATCCTCCCCAAACTAGATATGGTCCATCAATCCTGACTGCCTTGAGAACTCATCCTTAACTATCTTCAAAT